AAACTAATTATACGTTTCACAATACTAAACCACTCGCTGTTTGTTGAATAACTTTTGATAGGAACAACATAAAAAGCTACGATTTTTACCATTATAAGGAGAAGGTCTAAGCGCATATAACACTAGATGAAAATTAATCAGTCAACAAGGGATTAATCAGATTAATTATGTATGGAAACCTTTAAAACGATATTCTAAAGCTGTTTCTGTTTGGAATTGTTTGTTAACATGATAGTTAGATAGGAAAACTGTTGTCTTTCGATCTGGATGAAGACAACATTGCTAGATCATTTAGTGCTAGACTTATGAGGATTTTCCTGAGATCTACAATTGCAGCCAATTGATCTAGGATCAGTCAGAATGGTCTAGATATAAGTATGGATGTACGAGAAGATCCGAATCCATATCTACACCCTACACTTACATCACATCCATTCTTGACTCGCTGAATCTTCGGCTATACAAACTGTTGGTGATCCATTTTGGAGCTTGCACTTTTGCTTCAATTATGTTCTGTCTACTTAGTCTGTTCAGGAACATTTACCCAATCGATGAAACTGAAGGATACTGACCATAGTTGTCAGAGCAACGATGAAAAATCCAAAAATTGTTAATTGGCGGAAAAAAGAGCTCGATCGATATTGCCTTTGGAGCCTATTGTTTCATCTTTTGTTTCTGTGAAGAGCACGCTGATCGTTCAGAAAAACTCTGTTTTTGCAGAAATAAATTTATATGTATGGTTCAATAGTGAAGTCGAGATGAGTCTTGGTAACGCGACACACAGTTATTCAGCTAGAAGCAAGCATCCTTTACGCCCAAGTCTTGTATCATACGAAAATTTGTCGATTTCCTATCGACTTCATTTTGCCGGCGGGTCAGTCATGTTTATTCTCTCTGATAAAGTGAAAGCAATGGTCTATTCGAGCAAAATTGTTCTTTGATTTTAATCATATATCATTTGATAAAGTGTCAAGTAAAAACTTGAACTGTTACTGTCAGTGTAAGTTTGGCTAATAATACTTATAAGATTTTTCTGAACTAAAAACTATTATTCATCGTGCTCTTGTGGCGTAAGTGGAAACGCATCCGGCTGTTAACCGGAAGACAGATGGTTCGAATCCATTCAAGAGCTGTAATGTCGCATTTTTTCTTATATGTTTATCAAAAAATACTTATGAAATAGCTCTTACAAACAACGCACGGAAAAAGTAATTACATCATACACATAATTATCTTTCTTTTCTATTATCCGATGACTCAGCATTGGAAAAAAGAACGCAAACGTGTGTCATGTCATTAGCTCATTTTTTGTCTTCTGTTACGGTATTATTTCATAATTATATAATTATTAAACAGTCATGGTTATTGGACACATCTAAACCATCTATCTTTCAGTCAGAAGCCGGACGCGTTTCCATTTACGGCACAAGCGCATGATTTAATAATCGACTGTATCAAAAAAATCTTTACTGTATTCACCAAGATAGAGATATGATTTTACACCAAGCAAAATTTTGCTTAGATAAAACTTGTTCTATTTCAATAACGTGAAAGATCATAACCAATCTGAGTAAATGAACGTGCAGTCATAGAAAATCAGAAGCCTAAGAAAAAAGTGTACGGATGTGAGAGGAAAGATAGCTGAGTGCCACTGAGTGTGTAGAAAGACGTGTGCCTTTATCCTTTTCACCTAAACTCACATACACCTGCCAGATATTGATATATATGTGCAAAGAATCGTAGTCTCCTATTTACCAAAGTGTCTCATTATCCTGTGACGATTTTTTCATGAATTTTTATTAAAGTAAAATCGCAACATGTAGCTCGATTCAATAAAGATTAAAGGGTTGGCCAATTTTTTTTTGCACATCCTCGCATTCATGCTTTTTACAAAATATCACTCTGTGATTGCTAATCTATGTCTTTAAGTCATAGTTCTAAATTATAATCTATCTGAGCCTATGATATGAATGATTCGCTGATGATATTTTTAGATTGTCATAATAGCAATCATCAATACAACAATAGCCATAGTTGAACGAAGAACCATGAGGGAAGTGATTTTATATAACAGATCATATTTTTTTCGAATTGCTGTTTATTGGATTTTTTATTTTGCAAGTATCAGTCATAGAAGATCACAGCTGAACAGTAATGAAATGTTCTCGTTTTACGGCACCGATCTCATGGAACCTTGGCCATCATATGTAAACATAAGAAAAACATTGGCTTTTCTACGGTCAACAACATTATAGAATGAACCATTGCGTATTCAACCAGGTTTCGAAATTTTATAACGATTTTCTCGAAGTAGTGAGACAAACAGACGCAGTAGAAAAATTGAACTCAGACATGACAAAAATTTATTTGATGATCTTTTCGAAAATGTAGATATGATTAGTGAAAGAAAAAAACACATGTGTTTAAACTAACGACTTCAATTTATGTTTATTTCCTCATTTTTTGCCTCTATTAAATTGTGAATAATCATGATCCCAAACACTTAGTCCAAGTAAATACAATGCATCAGGATATTTATCAGATAACACTTCTAAATCGTATTTCGACGGTTTCAATAATGCACTATGTTTTCGAAATCGAGCCAGATCAATTTTCTCCATTTTATCATAAAATTTAATGTAAGAAGAAGATGATGGATTTTTAATCGATACAAGTTCACCATTCCAATAAATGATGTATTCATAAGCAGATAAACCACCAATATCTGTAATATTACCATCAATCCATGTATTTGATTGTGGATCGAGAATAGAAATAGCGGCAGAATAAGCCAACAATGACCATTGACCTGTCAATTTGGCTATGACTTTTTTCGATGGATAGGCAATAATTTTATTATTATGTTTGGGAAGAAAACGAGATTCAATACGATATTTGACTTGTTGTTCTTTTTCATCATAAACAGAAAATTCGGCCGATTTAACTCCAGAAAGAAAATCTTTCTTAATTATAAAGTTATGATTAGTATTTTCCGCACTATTGACAATAATAAATATCAATACTAGGAAACGAGTGAGAATAGCCGACATTTTATGTTCGTGGAAATTTTTGATTAGACTATATGCATGAAAATAATCAGTTGAGAAAGGCGTTATATAGGATGTCTTGTTATACTATTCCTATTAATGAGATTTACGCAAGTGAATCATACTATTGAAGTGTATGTCAACACTCTTCGATTCAAAGTAATTCTAGAACAAACGATTATGTATTCTCGAGCTCCACTTCTAAAACAAACGAGTATTCTATATAATGTACGTAAGTGATGATTACATTGCCCTTCAAGCATAGAAATAATATGTTTATAGCATCTTTTGAAGAATGTAAATTTCATCTGTGTACTATTGATCAGAAAAAAGACGAGATAAAACATCAAAGCTTCGACCCATCGATTATGATCAGATCCAATAAAATTCTAACGAATCTGTTCCACATAATATTATCAACATCAGTTCTGATCGTCGTGTTGATTCGCTCCCCCACGTTCATCACATACTCTCCATTGTAACTGTTTCATCTTTCCATTATGACTCACCGCAAACCTTTATTCTTAAAACATATACATATCGCCAGAGAATACAATTGTGACTTCTTACAACCCAACAGTATCTTCGGTCAAACGGAACAAGGAGACAACTAACTATACAAGGTGAACCATCTGTCTTTGCTTACCGAAACTCATCGTTTGATTATCATCAAAAAGCGATAATTAGAGACTGCCAGATCTATGAGAATCGTTAAGGTGAGTGTGGGCATGATTCCATTGAGGATTATACCAATGCCCACAACCACACTCCATTATTAGATTATCTAGAATAAAACCTGGTGGTAATTCATCAAGATTAATTTATTTCGAGTCTCGAGTGAGATTTTTCGACGAATTAACAGCTATAGATATAATAAAAAGCTCAATACATGGAAATTCAAATAAATAGAAAGATTATTTCTTCAGACGAACTATTATTTTTTTTTTCCAAAGTTATACTCAAATAAAATGTTTGAATCATGTATTGAACTACGCAGAATGAGTTTTTTTCGAATGCATTTGTCTCGTTTTTGTTTCTGTTAGGTACCTAATATAAATTTTCTCAAGATTCATACGAACAAATTAATAAATCTAATGCTGTCATTTGTTCTAGGAACAATATTAGCATCTAGTGGTGAATTCCAACGTAAATACATTCCTAGTGAACTTCATTTTCCATCAGTAGCTAATTGACTGGAATGGAAAATGTTATCAATAATAGATTGGCTAGATATTGATCCAGGCTCAGAGGCATATGCTTTTCTCAAGGAACTTAGTGTAAAAGAGGTACTAGATTTACATAAATTGATATCTCAAATTGATCATCAACATAATATTGAACCAAAAACAAAAGTTGATTATAAGTCACTGAAAGCACCTGTGTTTTTAGCAGAAAGTTTTCAAGAACATTATTCGAAATTGTGGGAAAATGTCAACATTAGAAGTGCTTTTCTTCCATATCATCTTCTCCTTAAATATAAATCGATCAAAACAACAACACCTGCAATAGTTTTTAAAGATATGTTCAAAATTTAAATTTATTTTAATTTTTTATTAAAAAACTAGAATTTCGTTCGTTATTTCCATCTTGACTTCCTGAAGTTATGCGTTGTTTTTCGAGATATTTTGCTATTGGTTTACTTGGTGTTAAACATTGACCTCCTTTATCATTGACATTTGATCTTTTAATGGAAAAAAAAAGAAATCAATTATTAATTGTCGAAACTGCTACAAAATACTTTTCTTATTTAAATAAATTAGATGGTCTTAATAGAAAATTTATTCAAAGAATTTCTAACATTCCATTTATTCCTTTACTAGATTCGTTCATTGTTTTTTTACTAATCCAAATAGAAATAATAAACTATATTTTAGAAAGTAATATCTATGTTAAATCACCTCTAGTATTTGTTTAATCGTTCAAAATCGAATGAAACAAATTTAGATAAAATAGATGATGTTACAACATCATCTATTTATTGATTATATAGATTATGGTTGTCAGGTGAATTCCTTTCTTCTCAGTATTGGAGTTGTTTCTTATCTATCAGCAGAAAATTTAGCTGATTTACTTATTGAACATCAATCAAGTTATTTTATTCAAGCTAAAAATCTTTCAAATCATCTTATATCAGTGAAATTACATGTTTATACAAATTGTTCAAAACAATTAGTTGCTTTATCAAATGTAGCACGAGAATTTTAATGTTGAACCATTACGGATTCGTTTAATAAGTAAACCATGATGTTTATCTTATCAAATTATTGAAAAATTAGATGGAAATAAAGAACGAATATTTAAAATAGCAAAACTAAATGAAATTTATTTCGATGATGATCATCAATCGTCTATTGATCTTCGACGATGATGTGCACCAGATGAATCTGAATTAACAAAATGATATAAACAATTTGGATCAAAATGGATTTCAGAATCTGTTCAAAGAACTTTAATACATAGAGATTACATATCTTTAGTTCATTATTCGATTATTTTTAGTTTTTATTTGCTTTTTAGGAAAATTTTTCATAACCGAACGAAGTTAAAAAAAATCACATCAATTAATTGATTATCGTTTAGATATGGTATTGGTTAATAATAAAGTATAAAATTTAATTTGATAGATTTTTTTTTCAATTTATCTAGTTTTAGAAAGAAAGAATTGAAAGTATTAATGAAAAACGTATTCAGTTATTAAAAACGAAATTTTTTGTTTATGAATCTACAGATATTCAAAGTCAATTAACATCTCAAAATAGAACAATTACATTAAATGTAAGATTCTGTTTGAAATATTTGATAAAGTCCACCGAATGTAGTTCATCTGTACTTGAACATGATAAAATTAAAATGATTTTATTTATTCAAAAAAAAATATCTCAACTCTTGATTATGTTGATATTACAACTGGAATAACGCGATTTGTTTATAAACAAAAAAAAAACACTTGCTTCCTCATTAGATACACTTAAACGACGAGGCATTCCGTTAGATTGATTATTAAAAAATTCAAGGAAAACAACATAAGTTTTATTTACATAAATAAATGATTTTGATAGCGATTAAACTATCATTACAAGTTGAACAAACTAAAGCAGAAGAAAAAAAAAATAACAAAACAAATCCCACAACAACAAAAATCATCATCTCAATTTATGAAGCACAAAGCCAATTACTTCAAAGTCAACAATTAACACAAGATAAACAAAGATCTCAATCTGAATAATTCTATCAAGAAGAATATAATCAGTAACAATATCAACAAGGATTTTTTCAAAGTTTAGAAGAGTAGTTTTCATTTAAAAATTAATTATTATTTTTTCTAAAAAAAAATGTTCTTTTTAATTTTTTAATTCTAATTCAAGTTTCTTCTTCTTTTCTTCCAGATAATTCTATTAAAAATCTTTCTAATAGAATTGAAAGAAATCATGTAAAAAATTTTGATCGATATAAAAACGAAGATGAATCAACACGAAATGCAATAAATGAATCATGTGAATTTATTCCATCTTCAAATATGATTCGTTATTCAAATCTTCTTCATGGAATTCTACTTTATGTAGATATAAATATTAATTCAACAAATATAATAATTAATCAAGGAAAACAACTCTTTTGTGAAACGAGTATTTCATCTTCCCATAGAAACATTGCATATGCTTCGTGATATATTCATAGTGATAAACAAATTCCATTTGATTAAATTAAAAATGAACAAGTATTTGTTGATGAATTAAAATCTATTCATCCTAATATTTCATCATTAAATGTAAGTGTTCATCAAATCATTCATTTTTATTGTATGGTTACTTGTTATGAATTATTTCATAATATTGATTTAAATTTTAGCAATCGTCTTGAAAGAGTTTTAATAAGATTTATGCATGCTAAAGATGCATTTATATCGAAATTCTCTTTTTTAACAATGTTTGTCAAATATTTTTCTCACAAGTTTTTGTTTTATTAAATAAACAAACTTATATTTATATGGAATAGGTATAAAAAGATATTTTACTTTTTAGTGAATTAAATTCGTAAATAAACAGCGATATGAAGATTTATCTTTTAATTGTCCCTATCTAATATCATTAGATATCTCACATTTGTTTAGAATTATTCAATATTTGTTAAAATGAAATCCTTAATAATTTTTTTTGAGTCGTTTCACAGATAAATCGGTAAGATTTGTTAATTTTTACACAATAAAACAAAATTTTACTCTTAAAAATGTGTATCTATCAAAATTAATTTGTTTATTGAATAGAAAAAGAAGATATAGTTATCACATATTCTCTTCTATCATGTTTTGATTCAATGACATTGTTTATATACGGCAGAAGTTTTTTGTTCCCAGTCTTATTATCTCTTATAAATGTAATTTTTGAGAGCCGTTTTTAATCATACTTGCAGAATCAAATAACTGGATGACATTCAATTTTTCACTCGACTGCGAAATACGATGGGATCAATATAGATTGTTGACAAATGAATAGTCTACAGGAAACGAATAATCATTTCTACATGATCGAATGTGTTAAATTAAGAGAAAACCGAAATGTTTATGTAATAGAAGTCTAATCTGAATTAGATCTCAAAAAGTTTTTAATTGCTTCATGGTTTATTTGATTATGATCAAATTTGACACGTAAGAGATCTAATAAAGTACGATAATTAACTCTTAAAGTATCTGCATGATTTTTAATTAATTAATTCAAACTGATTGAATTTATTATTATCAAATTGTACGCGTGAATTATCTTGATTAAAATCTGATATCTTCCATGAGATGTTTTTGCCTTCGAAATGCAATAAACAAACATCAACGATTGTTTTCGAATAATAATTATCAGGAACGTGTTGATTTATGATTAAATTTCTGATATCCTTCCGATTGATGTCAAAAGTTCCGCCGTTGTACGAAGTTTTTTTCTATGTATTTTGATCATTTCTTTAAAACTTGAATATTGTCTTCTAATTGTGAAATTTTATTAACCATTATTTGATTATTACGCATTAAATCTAAAAAAATACGTTTTATTTGATTAATCAGACGATACAGTTGTGAACCTTGTTCTTCATTAATTTGATAATGTTGATTTAAGAAAAAAATAACATCATCCAATAATTCATGGACACGTTGAACAATACTTGATGATTCTGAATTAATTATTTTACCAAACTTATCGTCTGAAATAGCGTTTATTGCGTTTATAAGTTCAGCATACGCTTCAGTTTTTTTTCGAAATGTATGATGGTAAAATAGAGATAATATTAATCTGTTTAAGTTGATGTGACATTTAAACAAAATACAAAAAATCTCAAAGATAGAAATATGGTTTGAATACTATATAACTGGATGAGGCAAATAAGAAATAAATAAAGAAGATATATTTAGTATTTGTTTGCTATCCTTGACAAAATATATTTGATTTAAATTTCGTTGAAAAAAAGTATATTATAAAAAGTATTTACATATTTAGGACAAAAATATTCTTGAAGCTTTTTGATGGACATCTATAGGTCTTAATAACTAAAACATAAATTTGAACAAATCAAATTGTTTCTTTTCTGCCTGGTATTACGAGTTTATAATTTATAGATAACACGTTTATTCTATAGTCAACATACTATTAACATTTCAATATGCTGTTTCCCAATAAACCTATCTATAAGGAAAATCTTTGGGTGTGAGTGTGCTCGTGAGTGGCGATGAAGAGGAAATAACATCCATACCAACACCAAAATTCTGATGTATTTTTCTCTTTTTTTCACACTGTACTAGTTTGAGAAGATGCTGCAGTATGAGATAAAAGTGTAATGAATAGAAGAATAGATAATATTATGATTCATGATGAAGTAGATAAACTTTCATTTGTTATATGATGAAGAAAAAATATTGTAACTGGTATGTTGGAGTAGTCCCGAGTAAGTCATATCTTTGTAGTTTAGATGATAGAGAACAGGCTATTTCAAAGCGAAATTTTTACTTTATACTTCATGATTGTAATATTCTATTTCAACCAGAAATGTTACTTCAATTTCAATGAAATCTTATTCGATGAGTAAAATAATATTTTTCATAAAATACTCTACAAGATCATAATGGCTAAAACATCATTTTCATTTGCAGTAAAACAACAGTTCTGTAAGAGTCTTAACTTTGTTTAACTTTTTTTTAATGAATTTCACTTACTGCAAAAATCACAGTTATTTCAATCCAATCTGAAATTTAGACAGAATAATAAGTTTTTGCACTATTAAGTTGACTCTTTCCAATAAAATCAAAATCAAGTTATTTCTATGGACATTCTCTCAACAAAATTTGTCCATTATTAACTTTAAACATTATATATTCAATTTTTTGAAAGAGAGCATGAACACTTTTCCAGAAGCGACAATATGAACTAGTTATAGATAATTTTAGTAAACAAATCATTTTTGTATAAAATGAGTTGATTTTGATTAAGTTTCAATTGACTCATAGTAATCTTGCTAACCTATCTATGAAAAGTCTTTGCTCAATATGTTGGCTCAATATTCGACTATTTATAGATCACTGAAAAGAAACATAAACAGTCAACTAGAATGAAAATTTCATGCTCTTGCTTTGACTGTTTCAGAGAAAAATTTTTTCATTAGATCAATAATAACGTTCGAAAAGTTTTTTTGTTTAACTCATTGCTGTGTTTCTTGTTTGAAGGTATTAAACTTGAATGGTTGAATCAAAAGAAAGAAACAATCAACAATGACAAATAATTTGATTGATTATGTTGAAATAAGGAATGTCAAATATGAAGAACTTGAACAATTTTGGAATATACAACAAGAATATTTAGATAAGTGGACATTCACTTATTTAGAAAATCAATTTAACAAATATTCATCGTTATTTGTAGCTGCTTTCATTAATTATATTATGTGTGGTATTGCATATGGATGTGAATATGATGAAAAAACAATTACATTGCAAGGTATTGCTGTATTATATAAATGCTGGAGACATGGAATTGGAAGTAAATTATTACAACATTTTGAAACAAAAGTTAATAAAACGAAAATAACAGTAGGTGTAAAGTCTGATGATACTGTAGAAAAATTCTATCTTAAAAATGAATATAAACCAAAACAATTTCTTATTCGAATTAAATGCAATCAAGTATCAAATGATTATGAACAAAAAAAGTTAAACTTTCATGTTATTAATGAAAAATATGATGAAACAAATGAAGCAATCATATTATATATTGAAACATTACAATATGATAATGAATTAAAAGATAATATAAAAAAACTCTTTCATTCATATGAAACAATTTATATCATGGAAAAAACAATATTGTTTAATAATTAATTGATCATGATCTTCGATAGTATACATTATCAATTTTAAAAGACAATGTTATATTTTCTTTATATCTCAGTAGATATTTGATAGAAACCAAGAAAAAAACTGCTAATATGATCTATGCGAGCTTTAAATGGGCATGACTGCGAAATTTCGTGTAGATATGGTTTTTCTGTCTTCATCCACATGCAAATTACACTCAAGATCTTAGAACGAATAAATGAAACGAACTTGTTAGGATTTTTCAAAAATGATTGTTTTAATATCTGCTAGGATATGCATTTCAGGATCCTCCTTGTACACTTTTGAGCCAGTCTAATTAGTTCATGATCTTCTCAGAAACAAAAAATAAAATTAGAAAAGTATCAAGCATCATTGAATATTTCTCTTGAACGGATGCGAACTTTGAAGACTAAACACTGGGAAGAATCTTATTCAAAATAGCACATGTCTCTGCTCTAGATCTTTTACGAATGTTTTTAAAATACTATCAAGGATCGTCTCTTTTACTTGAGGAAACAAATGAACCCTAGTAGAAATGTATACCTGAGCAGCGACAAGAATTTCAAAGAAGAGTGAAACAGGATATTAAACAGATTCCATACAATTCATATTATATTTAAATCAAGACTTGATCCATACACAAACATAACTAGAACGATTTCTCATGTTTATTATCTGAAACAAACAAAGAAGAAATTGTTTCTTCGGAAACAGTTTTTTTTATCGATATTTTTGTGCTTTTGGACCAAATCGATGTTTGCATTTGTCGACCTTAAGTCGTTTAGGTAATGTATTGAAACGGCCTGATCGAGCTGATTGTGCTTCATCGTTCTTTAGATTTTGTTTGTTTTGATAAATGGGTAACTTCTCAGGGGAGACAATATCGCAATCATAATCTATATTACATTCAAGTCGTGAAAAAAGAGAAAGTAACTTTTGAATAACCCGCATCCAAGAGCCGATATAGGATGATTCATATAGCATGTCATTAATAGGACTTGTTCTTTCAGATGAATTAGACAAAGAAATGTTGGTCGAGTTTGTCGATAATGAATCTGTATGATCGTTTTCTTTTGATTCAAAAGCACCTCTCCAAGCGAATGTATTGTAAAAGTCGTCAGGAACGGGTTTATCATCGTTGTACAAATACATTAAGGAGTCGATCTTACGATGTTGAGCAATTTGTTGAGAGGTAGGTAGTAGACATCGTTGCTTATTAGAAAAGAACGAATAACAACATTCTTTCGCCACGATTAGCGTATGGTGACGAAATCGTGAATGAAAAATAGTTGCAGTGGAAAGAATGATTATGATCAAAGAATAAATATTATTCAGTGTGGAAAGATCATGTAAATCGTATTCATTGTTACTAAGAGCTATGATGAACTCTGCAGCTGTCTGTCGTGCTTCTGAGATATTTGCCTTGTGATATACAACTTGTTTTTTATCATCATCAATTTTGATTGGATTTGATAGGACCAAAGATTTGTCTTTTAGAAGTGGTAAAGGAAATGGATCGATGCCTAGATAATCAAATAGTTGAAGTGCATCCAAAACATTATCATCTTCTACTAGTTCACTAAATAATGTGTATGATTGTTCGGAAGTAATTGAACAAAGAATAGGCATGAACCAATTATATTCAATTGGATGTCTTAATACATATTCACCATTTTCGTTTTGAACTAATAAAAAATCATCTTTATGTGCCACAAGATTAAATAAATAAGGAATACGATTAAGTTGTTGTTGAGTGAGATGAACAAGTTTATTAGATGTTCCAAAACGGAATGCATATAATACTGTTTTATCAGTATCGATTATTTCGACACCTTCGACCATTACTTGAAACGTCGAATCGACCAAAATGGTTAAATGCCTTCTCAAAAAACGCTTCATATGGAAGAAAGAAGAAAAAGAAAATTGAGTATTTTTTACGTCCTTTTGATGTTGAGTCATCAGTGTGCTGGCTTTTTCCAAGCATCATTGCCATTAATAAAAATCTTTTCGATATTATATGTTGGAAAATATGTAATGCAAACTTATATTCTATTTTATAATAGTAATGTTATTGAAGATGACATTGATTGAATATGTTAAAGCAAATTACATAATTTCTAATTGAATTGAGAAACAGTTTGTAGTGACTCATGTAGAAGCGTACTCGGAGGAAGCAAGAGACAGTAGTGCCCTCTTGAAATCTACGCTTCTCGAAGTACATGATCGACTATTTTGAAATTGTCAGCTGGTTCTCTCGAAATCTTCGATAATTCTTCAGAGGAAAGATCTGAATAAAATATTACATGTGTTAGCGACATCTTTTTTAAGTCAATCATCATCAGACACACTTTGTCAATTGATTAATACACCTTTCAGATAGAAGTCTAACTTCGAATTACCGAGTATGTTTTCATAAATGATCTCAATAGGATCACTAGTAGCCAAGATCACTTCATCGTGTATTTTTCTCATCTTGATCAATTGAATCCATTTTGAACCGAAACATACATCTCTGTGATCTTGATTTTTGATTTTTGATGAATGTAGTTTTGAAGCAATAGAAAACCATACTGTCAATGAGGCTCACACTCTCTCATTATAGTGGAAGGCAAAAGGTAAAGATATAGTTCTCGATCGAAAATATCTTCTTTAGTCGCTTTTATCAATTTTCAAAATAGACTTGCTTCTTTTTTTTTAATTATTTTTTGATCATTTTTTAACATTTGAAACATCAATGGGCATACAACAACTCGTAGCTTCCTAATTGCGACCAAAAATTAAGCCAATTAAGAAAAAAGTGGTCGCAATTAGGAACACAGAAATTTACGTTGATCTCATTTTTAATGCGTTTCCGAATTGGGACCACTTTTATTAGTTAGCTACTAATCAACAGTTTGATTGAAAACAATATTTATTAACAAAACAAACAGATAACAAAAAATTTATTCTTCATCACTAGTATCTTTGGCATCTTTTATAATATCGATATAACGATGAGAAATAGTTTGTAAAACTTTTTGATAGTCACCAAAATTTTTATCTTGAAGATATTTTTTTTTTGCTAACATAAGTTTATTATAATCTTTTATATATCTTCCTTTTCTTAGTCTTGTTGTTCGTTTTTGTGCTTGTTCTTGTTCTCACGACTATATATAAACTTTATCAATAGAACAGAACTCATAATCTATTATGTGCATAACTAATTAATAAAAGTGGTCGCAATTCGGAAACGCATCAAAAATTAGATCAACGTAAATTTCTGTGTTCCTAATTGCGACCACTTTTTTCTTAATTGGCTTAATTTTTGGTCGCAATTAGAACATAGCCCAACAACTGGAACACATTTTCTCTCCGAAAATATGCATAATCAATCTTCTTCAAAACATTGTTGTCACATATATAAAGGTGATCTTCATTAACAATAAGCGTATATTTCTTTTCTGTGGTTTGATGATATTGATATGGAAAGAACAATATAGTAATGCTCGTAGACAACGACATTTAAGTTTCATCGTCCGTGCCACTATCATCAAAGAAAAGAAAAGGAATATATGTTTATTGTTGAATGAATATCACCTTCATACATGTGACAAAAAAAGTTCTGACCAAAGTCAAGTATTATTCCTCTAGTTTAAATTATTCAATTGATTGTCCCAAACTAGAAATTCTGATGAATAATGCAAAACCAAATGATACAAAGATTACTACTTCTACGGCAAGTCTTAATTCCTTAAATCAAAAGAAAACGATGAATAGTATATTGATCATTAGGACAGATAATCGTGGTGAAGCTGGTTTGATTTTTATTCAATTTGCAACTATGCTTTTTCCATTTACTTATGATATAGCTATTTTACTGCCTGATCATCGTGGTGTTAGACTCGACTCCTTTGAGTTGCAACGGTTATGGTTTATCAAATATGACTGTTCAGTTGATGAATCACCTCAAACGATGTTCTTGAGAATACTCAAAGATTAGGCTAGAAACAATCAACATTTTGAATTGTTGTAATCCAGACGATGTGACAGTACTAAAATTCTTTCTTGAAACTACTATGGGAGCTTAACAAAGTATAAGTGCAAATAACTCAACTCTTTCATCACTTTTGGGCTCTTTCCGACTCAGCTATAATATTATTTAAACGAAACTGTGGTTGAGTAAAGATAAAGATGAAGTTGATGAAGAGACCATTTTTGCTTGGTATGCTTCAACATCAATGAGTTAAATTAATCCACAATGTCTTATATCTTTGCAGTCTAAACGATCCAAGTATCCGTTAATGAATATCATGAAAAAGTGGCTACCAATTCCATCGTATTAATATTATCAAACCAACTTGAAATGACAACATCTTTTGATAACACCGTTCATCTTGCAATATTCACAGCCAAAATATAAACATTCTATACTTTTTCCTATTCTGATTTATATTCACCCGAATAGAGTAACAATAGCTGCATTCCAGAGCACCCTATACTTTATTCAAATGCTCTTCCACGTTCAAGTATCTGTTCGACAAGTGATTATGACTTTTTCGTTCATTTTTCACCAGTTTTCTTAATATTGCTTGCCACGATTAAATACACGTTGAAAATAAGCTTCATAGTAGTATATAACGCTCGAAAAAGTGATAATTGTGAAACATTGGTTGGTCGCAGTAACATATAAGCACAAGGACAGTTAGTTGCACCGTAAAGTTGATCATACACTTGACAGAAGCTTGTTTTCTACTTCATATTCTAAAATTCTCAATTTAGAGACATGTAATTCAATCATGCATAGCACCACGCAAGAATGAGAATGGCATATGACTAATGAAGATTTTCTTCATGTTGATATTCACATTATGAATTTATCAAACTGTTACAAACAGAAGAAAACTAAAGTCATTGTGTGTATTACTTGTTCTCATGTAAAACGTCATGCTGAATTTAAAGAGTTTAATAAACATTTGTATTCGTATTCATATCAAACGTTCTTTGTCTTGGCATAGATTGTCAGTTATACTAAGGAATACCACTCTGAATTATTTTTCTATCATGCTTATAAATTTGAAACAAACTCTTTTTTGAAAATTTTAATTTTAACATCAACACATTCAAAAATTCATGAAGAATCCTCTAACATAAGCAGTAGTGAATGTACATAAAAATTTGATAAACTTCAATCAAGTATGAGTGCTGGAAATTCGTTGTCAATGTGATGAAAACAATGAAATATACAAACAAAAAAAGCATTTGTTTCGATATTGAAGGGCAAAAAGTAAAGATAAATGTTATTGGTGTGATATGAAAGGTAGATAACAAAATTAGAAGGACTAGTATCTCATATATTTTCTTATACTTTTTATAACAGAGTTTATTTCAACAAAAGAAAAAAAAAATTATCCTTGATTATTTTTAACTTACGATACTTTTCTTAATCTTTTTGGGACCATCATTCGATATTTTCTATTTTTTCCTCCCATTTTAATTTCTTTTAAGGCACTTAAGAATGATTTTTCAAAATTTTATACTCGAATTTGAAACAACCTATATGCATACAGTAGGAGAGAAAAAATTTAGCAACATTTTAATGTCAGATTTGTTAGAATGTTTTCAATTTTAGTGAGCATTGTGTTCATATTTTTTAATGAGACTTTGCTGCTTTCTGTACAATGATTGTTCAAAAGTTACGGCAATTTCGGTTTTATGGTGTATTCCGATTTATATCTATATGCCTTTTTTTCTTATTATTTTGCATTTGATAATTTCAAAGTGCTGTAATACGTAATCTGTACACTGTACAAAATCAGTAAGGTTTCATTTGAAACAATACATTTTATTCTTCAAAACACATTAGTTTTCTAGCTGTGAAGTATCTCGTTTCATTGTTGATTTTTTTAAATAAAAGCTGTAGGTAAAGATAAGACCTACCACAACTGCACCTGCTTGCTTACATCCTCAACAATACTCGGCATGTTGTTGCTCTTATTTTTTCATCTCTTTTTCACTCTACACTTTTCTGTTCTCATGTTGATTCATATCAATAATTTACTGTTATTATCTTAACCAAACAAAGTTTTAGTGAAATGGCTGCGTTATTGTTATTACTGGTCTTGATTATTAAAGTAATCGTGCCAAATGTTCACGGATGGGGTTTTGAAGGGCATGCACTTGTTGTTCAGCTAGCCGAGAGTCAATTGACTAAGGAAGCATCCGAATGGATCAAACCTCTTCTTCCTTGGTTCGTATTTGGTAATTTGACCCGCGTAGCCTCGTGGGCCGATGACATTATTCATGATAATTCCAATCATTTTGACTATATAAATTGGCAATGGTCTCGACCATTACACTACATTGATATGCCTGACTGGACTTGTAGTTACAACCCACAAAGAGATTGCAACAATGATGTTTGTATTGATGGTGCACTGAGAAATTATTCCAAACGGGTTATCGCTGCTGATCTAGATCATGCACAACATCAAGAGGCACTTATGTTTCTTGTTCATTTTGCCGGTGATGTCCATCAACCGTTGCATGTTAGTTTCGCAGGAGACTTGGGTGGAAATAAAGTGAAAGGTAATGACGAAATGTGACGATAAGCAATCATTGTTTGATTGTATGTTTTTGTTCGTAGGATTTTTCATGAATAGTCCGCACGAGACAAATCTTCATTCTGTATGGGATTCTGGCCTCATTCACCAGCGTATTTCACACGATTTTCAATCAAATATCGCCATGTACTACGAATATCTTCATGAACTCATGCGCAATCAAACACCAACGAGTAACAACGATGATTTCAAACAATGGATTGCGGAGAGTGTGACTTGGGTCTGTGAACAAGTTTACGTAGA